GCACTATGATAGAAAGGCCCTCTTTTGGGTCATGAGGAGAGACCTCTGAATCACAGGGTGGGCCAAAAGCAGGTATACAGTACTGATTGGGTCATGCTTAGTCTCTTAGGTGCTCAAAGTATCCTCCATCAATGTTGCAGCACTCCTGGAACCTGTCCCTAAATTCTGATTAGCATCAACCTCTATAAATGTTTACGAGATGAACTTCAATTCATCCACTGTGTGAGGTCCTCCATGACCTGGTCAGTACTATATACTTACTTTTGCACCACCTGTATAGTCATCTCCAGTGCAGATACAGAGATGGCTCTCTAGACAGGAGAGCTGCCAAAGCTCAAACCTGAACATCTTTCAGAAGCACCCGAAGTCATTCCTGTTTCAACTGATGTGCAGGGCACAGGATTCAGCTGGGATGAGGTGCTGCCTTAGTGGAATTCCTATTCTGTGGTTGGCATTTGACTTTCATTTTAAACATTTCTCTGTTTCCCCCTAGCTTTTAGAATAAGACTAACAGAAGGAAGAGCCATCCTGCTAGCCACCAGAAGTTATTTTGTGCATCCAATCCTTAAAATGATGCCATTATTATTATTATTACTATTATCTTAATACAGTTCTTGAATGTGGCATGCTATTGGATCTACTAATGTCTTTCAACAGTTGCTATTGAAAGGAGGCAAGCTGGGTTAGGACATCGCTATTGGGGAAGGTAGTTCATCCTTCTCCTCTCTCTTCCCCATTTCCCCAGATAAAATTCCTGTCCAGGTTGCTGCAGCCTTGCTAGGAATAAAAGAACAATACAAATGCAATAGGATCCCTGTATCTGCAGGGGATCAGCTCTAAGCCCCCTAGCAGATGCCTGAAATCACAGATAATAAACAATATATGCTGTACTGTATTTTAATATTTTTGGACCACAGTCAGCCATGGTTAAGTGAAACCATGGTACCTGTAGCAGCAGATATGTGGGTTTCACTGTACTTGATTTTGTCTCCCACAAGCACAGCTTTTGAGTGTGGGAGGGGTGTTTGAGAAACTGAGAGGTAGGAGGGGCTAATTCTTCCTAGCATTGATGCCTCAATTCAATTTCCCATCCCCTCTATTGCTTCTGAGAGAAATCTGGAGATTGTATTATACAAACTTATCAAGGTCCAATGTCAGTTCTAAAACAACTTATTACAGGGTGTGGAATTGTGCCATTTATATTCTGCACTTTATTCCCAGTGTGATGCATTGTTAGTTTCTCCAGACAACCGTCCATATATATACCTTTTTCCATACACATACTCGTATAAACTTTTTATCCCTAAAGTCAAGTATGGTCAACTGATCATTCTGGCCTCAGGGGCATTTTTAAAATTGGATCCTGCCAGATTTTAATCAAGAATAAGGGTCTGCCTAGCTTCATTTGGGAAAATGAAAGGGAAAATGCCTACCACACTTCCATTGCTCTTTTTCAGATTATATATACAATGATCCAACACATCATTCATGATCATGAAGACCTTATGGTCAGGTGGTGCCAGTACCATGGAGTTTATGGAGGAAAATAAAAATGCAACTCCAGTCCAGAAATAAAACGGCCTGGAGACAACACAAGCTGGCCCTTATTTAATTTAGTTGACAGCCTCCTCTCCAAGTCCGCATTTTTCAATGGTCACAGACTGTAGTTTGAGAGCTTCCAAAGTGATTAGTGATACATTGTAGCAGAGCTGCTATTACAGTTACTAATTCAGAACTATATTAATTTTACTTGGGGTTTTTAATTAACACAATGAACTTTGGCAAATGTAATCTTATTAGAGCATCTCTTCTAAACCCTCCCATAAGTAATGAACAGAGACACACTATTCATCCAGCCGCTGCATAGGCTTCAAGAAAGGGAGTTCAAAAATTGCTGCTTCCAACTGGATTGCAACCTCTTCCATGTAAAGGCAATTCTTCACTTTCCTGGAAGCTGTAAACCTCCACTTCACCCCACAGATTGTGAAGAAACAGCATCCCCCAAGGAAGGTTAAGCATTTGCATGGCCTTACAGCATAAATCCTGGACTCTGGTGTGTCTGCGTGCGTGCGTGCCTGTTGTTCACTCAGCATGAGCCCCGTGTTTGGGTCAGAACATTAGCAACCTCTGACAAAGAGGAACTGTGTAAGGAGCTGCACCTGAATGGGGACTACCATATGGCAACCTTCCCCAACCCAGTGCCCTCCAGCTCCCATGCTGGCAGAGGCTTCTGGGACAAAAAATCCAGAATGCCAGAAGATTTATCTCATGCTCAGCCATGGAGCCAACTGGGAGACTTTGGGCCAGTCACAGCCTTTAGCCCAACCAGTCTCACAAGGTAGATGTGGTAGGGATAAGATTGAGAGAAGAGAATTATGTAAGCCACTTTGAGTTAATTGGGAAAAAGCAGAATATAAATCTAATAAACAAAATAGTATACAGACTTGATAGCCTTTGCAGTCACTCTTCATAGGATACAGAGTACTTCTGTTTTAACATTACAGATTACAAGTTGAGATACTAGCCTGGAAATATTTCAGAAACAAGGAATGTGGTTCAGTAAGATATCCAGCAGGTAGGGGACAACTGTAGTTCATGTTCTGAAGGGCTTCCCCCCTTCTAATGGTTACATTTTTTTATATACTGCTAAACAGGGAAAAGAAGGACTCAAAAATGCCTGTCTTCTACCTGATGACCTCCCTGTTTTTGACTTCAGCTCCCTTGATCACTGGCAATTAGCAGTGTTGGCTGAGGCTTACAGGAGTTGTAATCCAAAACATCTGGCAAGCACCAGTATGCCTGCAACTTAAGCAGCAGAGAGCCAGTTTTCAAACTATTGGGGAGGGAATTAAATAGCAGGGCACATGAAGCACAGCACCCATCTTTATGCCCAACCTCTCCTCTTCCCATATCCCTCTACCATTCCCTTGAACCTTTGGACAGAAGGCGAGCATCCCTTCTGCCACCCAAATCCAGATGAGACCAGGGGTTCATTTTGTCCATATCCTGTTTCCTACAGTGGTCAATCAGTTTGCATGTGAGGACATGAGCAAAATGGCATTCTCACAGTTGTGACCCCAGCAACAGGCACACTGCCTCTCCTACCGAAGGCAGCACATGCCCATCGCTACTAGTAACCACTGATAGCCCTACTTGCCAAGAATTTGTCCAGTCCCCTTCTAGAGCCACCCAGATCGGTGGTGTTTGCTAATTTTGTGGTACCCAATTCCCTAGTTTTAATATGTGCTGTGAGAAGAACTTCCTTTCTTCTGTCCCAATCTCTCACCAGCCAGCTTCATGGAATGACCCCTTTGGGATCTGGGATTATGCATAACCGGTGGGATCCTAGGAGCACAAATGTAGATAAGAGCAATGAACATATACTGCCCTGGGCCCCTGCCTGACTTTCTGTAAGTAAATCCAACCACACTTTTTCTGCCAAAGGAGACACTCTTCTACCTTGCCCTACCTCCACCTTAAATGTACAGTATCATCCTATGCAGTGTTACTTAAAAGCAACTCTCCTTGTCTTCAGTAGGACCTACTCCCAAGTAAATGTGCACGGGTTTGTGCCCTTAGGCATATCAACACATAGGCATCCCCCTTTATTAATACAAGAAGTGCATATAGAAGAATTTTATCTAAGTTGCTTAGCTTATACCAACTTTTCTTGGTTCAGAGTCTTGAGTTAAATGCAGAACTTTTAGCTCTGAATAAATACAACTATCTTACATATAAGCACTGCTGCAAATAGACACAGCTTAACTTTGGAAGACTAACTGATTTACGGTGGCCATGTTTTTGTGGACTCAAGTCTGCTTTTACCATTTCATGCATTTGACAAAGCAGGCTCTGGTCCACAATTAACATGTTAGGTGTTAATATGTGACAAGATTTTGTCTTGTTTTTGCAGCGATAGCCAAGCAGAGCAACCCTATCTTTATTTACTCAGATGTTAAGTCCTACAGTCTTCTACTATATGGAACTTACTCTCTACTAGGTTTGTTTACATACTGGACTAGTAGGATCTAACTTGCAAGAGCACCATTCCATGCATGCTGAGACAGAAAAGGCTCCACAACTCCCAGCATATCCCAGCTTGCTGTGGAAGGTGCCCTAATACGAAGATGCAGGCAAGTGGTCTAATTTTACTTCTCACTGAGGTCCCTTAACACACACCACAATCTGGGCGGTGTTTATTTGGGAATTGAAAAAGCCACTGTGCTGTGCTGATCAGATTTAGGTTCTACTCCCCACTGACTGGATGACTTTGGGCCAGGCACAGACTCTCAACTTAATCTACCTGACAGGGTTGTTTGTGAGGATAAAATGGAGACGCAGATTAGAAAAGCCACCCTGGGGTCCTTCCAAGAGGAAAAAAGGTAAACATAAATTTAATAAAAACGTAATGTGCCAATCATCTGGAACAGATCCACTGAAATTACTCAGGACCAAGGCTGCAATCCTATAGTAATTTAGCCGAGAGTCGTATCCACCCGGGAGTACGTCCTCCCACTCCAGCATCCTCCCCCACCCCCGCGCCCCGAGCCAGCACTGCGTAAAGCCACCGCCACAGACGTCATAATGCGCGAAAGGCCCAGCAACGGGAGACCTGCAGACGAGGAAAGTTGGCTCGCTGAGAGCAACAGCGTCTCTCGCCGACTCAAAAAACAACAACGAGCCCCATCTAGGTCGAAAGCCGCAGCTGCCCCGCGGAATGCGCCGCCCGAAGCGCGCGGCTCCGCGGGGCTCTCCGCGCGCCCTCTATTGGCCGCCGGCGAGCACCGCCCCCACGTTTTCTGGGAAGCGCGGCCCCACGTTGGCCCGGCGCGCCCGCCACCGCCGCCGCCGCACTGCCCTGCCCCGAAGGCCCTGCTCGCGCGCGACTCCGCCCCAAGGGGCGGGGCCGCCGGCGCTGGATCTTCTCGCTCGCGTCAGGGCGTATTATGAGGAAGGCAAGCTCCGCCCCGTGGTGTGCAAGCTCGCACCCAATATAACGCTTCCCTTCGGAGCGCTGCTGATCAGGTGCCAGCGATTGGCGGAAGAGCGAGGCGAGCAGGGGCAAGCCGGGCGGAGGGGAGCCGAGAACGGCCGGCCGCTGAGAGCGCAGTTCCCGAGCCGGCGAGCCGATCCGGGCTCCCAGACGCGCCAGTGGCCTCGCCTCCGCCCCGCGCTCACTCTCTCCAGGGCGCGTTGCTTTGCTGGGCTCCCCTTTCGCATCCGAGTCCCTTGTTGCCCCCGTCCTCCGCCTTTCCCAGGGTGCGTGAGGAGGAAGCGGCGGCGGCGATGTACCCGCCAGGCTCCACTTGGAATATCTCCTTCGCGGGCTGCGGGTTCCTGGGGGTCTACCACGTCGGGGTCGCCAGCTGCCTCCAAGAGCATGCTCCTTTCTTGGTAGCCAACGCCAAGACCATTTATGGCGCCTCGGCCGGAGCCCTGACGGCGACAGCCCTCGTTACTGGAGCCTGCTTAGGTAAGGAGGGAAACCCGGGGAGATCTTCTCTTCTCCTTCGGCAGGGCTCGTGGCAATTCAGCATTCCCCTTTCAAGAGGGCCCGCTTCGGAATCGGGGCTCTCTGTCTTCGTAGCCCGAATGAGCATCCTGAGCTCAGAAACAGAGGACCTGTGGCTCCCCAGATGTGGCACTCTAGCTGTCATCCTCCCTGACCATTGGCCCTGCTGGCTGGGGCTGATGGGAGATGGAGTCCCGGAACTTCTGGAGGGCCATAGGTTCGCCATCCGTGTTGTAGCTGTCCCCTTTATTTAAGCAGGAGCTCCGTAGGCGATGTGCCCTCGAATCCCCTGGGTATGTGCTCTTTTAACAATGACACATGCACAACTCTGGAAAAAAACACAATTGCTAGATCGTTCACTCATTGGTGACTCGATTTTCTTACACCGAGTCAGACCACTAGTTTGTGCAGCCTATTACTGCATGCAAAGTGTATGTATACACCACTGCTATGTTTCGGTTGATTGACAGTATAGAAATGAAATAATAAACCTATTATTAAAACGCCTTTCCAGACATGTCATTAGTGTGTTACTTCAGTTTTGTACATGTGTCCTGAGGCAGTTGGGAATGGCTTGTATCCAGTGTATCTACTTAAAGTAGATTCACTGAAATGTATGGGACTTAATTTGCAGTAACATTGGGTGCATCCTTGTATGTGTATATTATGTATATTCACTACAAATGTGGTGGTAAGGGAAGCCCTTTATAGAAGTAGTGGGGGGAAATGAACAGATGATCTCTGCTTTGCCCCCCCATGCAAAAATTGACATGCTCAACTTCAATAATTTCCAATGAATCGCACTCGGAAAATATTCATGCATACAGTGTTTAGGCTTTGTGGAGCCAGAACTATTCTTTCTGCCTTAAGCTATATCTGAGGTGTCTTCGCTTTCAGTCTTAATGCATTATTTGCTGATCTCTCCTGGGGCCTAGAATACAATAAGGCTGCATGCCCTCCAAATTAGCTTATCTTCTATTTGTTTTCAAGCCCCTGACACACACTGCAAGGGAGCATAGAATGCAATAGGGACACTAATTGTTTTTAAAAAAACATATTTGGATTTGATTTCTTCTGCAATTTCTGATAAATGTCTCACTGTGTTTTTGTATATGTTTTTTAAAAAGGTGTCTGTAGCTGCAATTCTATGTGCTTAACTTTGAGTAAATATGCTTAGCATTGGGTTGCAAGAATCCAGGAAGGATTGTTAAAGTTTAGCTGAGGGGAAGAAAGATCTGGGTTGCTAACTTCCTGGATTAGTCAGGGGGTTCGACTAGATGACCTCTAATGTTATTCCAGGTCTTTGGGTTCCCCCACCCTGCCATGACTGTAAGGATTTTGTTGTACCTTTTAACAAAACTATTAGTAGAAGAAATATAGCAGGATGTAGCACCACATTTCTGTGCTGTCCAGCTAAATGTATATTACCCTTGCATTACTTATAGGTAAAAGAGCTATATGCTTTTGATGAATGGCAATCCTTTAAGTATCTAATCACAATACTGGGTGTTTTAATTTTTACCTTTGCTTTTTATGTGCAAACTTGTTCTTGAGTTGCAATCCTGTACAGTTTTCTCTGTGTAGTCACATCTGACTAACTTATTTATGAGTCAACAGAGAGAAGAGTGTGTTATTAATATGAAAATGTGATGTGACTCTGTCATTTTTTTAAAAATAACAAAAGGGTGGGTAGAATTAATTAGGAATTTAGCCCTTGCCACTCCACAGTTTTCTAAGGAATATAAGAAAATCATCACTTACCATTAATAGCAAAGCATAGAGAACTTCTGGCCCTTGGGCTACATATGGCCCCATGCAGTCTCCCCATCTAGCCTGTTGAAGTCTCCCTGACCCCTTCTTCAGTGACTCCACCCCAAGTCCTGCTCTCTTAGCCCCTTCTTATCTGTTATCTCCAAATCTATTATCTGCAATATTTTCAGATGTTCACTGTTAGCCTTAATTTCCTTCTCTGGAACAGCTGGAAGAAGGATCAGAAGCTTTTGCTTCCATTTGTAATTAGTCACAGTTTAGCATTATACTGAAACCAAAATAAACTCGTTTGACTTAAACATGTTTTATGAAATTGCCTTGTTCTAGTAACCAAGTTCAGAGATAATGCTAAACGGTGGTTAATTGAAAACGGAGGCAAAAGCATCCACTGTCCTCCAGAGGACTATGAGAAGAGCATGACATACAGCATTGTGTCAGGATGAGACCAACTAATGAATGCAGCAGTCTCATCAGACTAGTTTTGCAAGGAACTGGTGCAATATTTGTGCCTAACTCTGATCATTGTTTCAGAGTGAGTTTGTGCCTCTGTTTTTAAGGGAGGGGGAATCTAAGGAATGTCAAACACCTTTGTGGAGAACTTGTACAGCTATACCTTTAGGAAGAGAACCCCACTGCTCTGTAACTGCATTTGTAGGCAGTGTTTTCTCCCTTGTTAGAATATGTACATTTGCACTCCTTCCCCCATCTGCCCCGGTCACAGCTATGTTTTGGGATGACAGCTAGTGCTAGTTTCTTTCTCCAGTGCAGTTCTGATGAATGTGGTTTACAGGTAAATGTTGATAGTAGCTGTCGCTACTTCATCCCCTTACCGTCTCCATTTTATCCTCAGGACAACCTTGTGAGGTAGGTAGGGCTGAAAGTCAGTGACTGGCCCAAAGGTGTCCAGTGAGCTTCACAGAGGAGTGGGGACTAGAACCCAGGGCTTCCAAGTCGTACTGCAGCATTCTAGCTACCCAGTCACACTGGCTTTGAGGAAGTCACTGTTATCTGTCAATGGCCATGGCTAATAAAAAGGCTGCTGCCAGAGTATTAAGTGCTGCTTGTACAAGCCGCTCCTGCTCAGAGTCAAGATGATCTTGCTCTGCATTTTAGGATGATGGATGGTGTGCAGCTCCTGAAAGCGTGAAGCTCTGAAACCATGATTGCATTAGCAGCTGTTAGCAATTTAGTTTAACAGGTAAACAAGAAAGGTGCTGGGGCTCATGTTATCTGGGACTGAAGAGTGGGGCCCAATGTGAATTGTGTAGGCTGTGCAAAGAGGGGAAACTGTCATTATGTTCTGACTTTTCACATATTCCAGAACTGTGCTCAGGTGCTAAGTGGGCACAGAGCTGAGCTTTGACTTGAACCAGATTAGAAGAACCAAGTTGGAAGATTCCCTGGCTGCATCATTTTGCTAACAAAGAAGCAGAAGAAGCTACACCTAGTAACTCTCTCTTTCAAGGCATTCAAGACAAGCTGGTGGGGGCCAGGGAAATCAGGGAAGGAGATAGCAACAAAAATATGTTGCATAAGTGTTTAATGCAAATGACAATGAAAGTCGCTGTCATTTCACATATTAGATGTCAGCTAGCACCTGACACTGTCCAGAACTGGCTCATTAGTGAGTTTTTCTGTATTTATATGTACTTGTAAATTTGATTTTCGCATTTATACTGCATAGTCTAATTAGTATGTGTATTAGTATGTATGAGTAGAAATCATAGACGTATATAATACAGTTATAACTGACAGTTGTGCAGATTGAAGTTACCTCTTGCAAACATTTCTTTTTCTTCTGTGCCTGTCTCCCAAGCACCCTTCAGGGGTGGCAAGCCCTCCTGAAGAGTGAGGACTGTGTTGTATGGGTTGTGGTATGCGCCCTCCTGCCTCATAGTATCATAAAACAGTAGAGTTGGAGTTGGAAGGGGCCATGTAGGCCATCGGGTCCAACCCCCTGCTGCTACAGGTCACCAGTTTACACCACTGCACTCAGATGATGGTCTTCAAATTTGATCATCATTCCTTGTACTTCCTCGTCTAAATCCTTAATAAAGATGCTGAATAGCGCTGGGCCTAGGACTGAACCCTGCAGCACCCCACCAGTTCCCTTTCTCTAGTTTGTGAAGGTGCCATTGAAGAGCACGCTTTGTGTCCGATTTAGAAGCCAATTTTGGATCCACCTAATAGTTTTTCTAGTCTACTTCTTGATAATTTACTTATCAGCACGGGGCTATGTTGAAAAGCAACACTGGGCTATGTTGAAAGCTTTGCTAAAGTTGAGGTAGATTTGTCTGAAGTGTTTCCACTGTTCGTTTGGGAGGTTACCCAGTCAAAAAATGAGATTAAATTAGTCTGACTTTACTCTCTCTCAAGGATAGGCTGAAGGGATAGGCTATCTCTTGCTCATGTAGCTATAACTGTTTGCAACCCACAACACTGAGCATGTGGAAATGGGCCTGAGAAGCATATTACGTGCCTTCAGCTGAGACCTCTCCCTAGTCCAGGGGTCTGCAACCTTTAACACTCAACGAGCCATTTGGACCCGTTTCCCACAGAAAAGAAAACGCCGGGAGCCGCAAAACTCTTTGATCTCTAAAATGAAAATAACACTGCATATATCATTTTTTACCTTTGCTATGTATAAAAAAGCTATAGTGTGTTGCATTTATGAAACAGATTGGGGGCTGTGCTGTGCCGGCGTGGGTCACAGATCGGGGGCTGTGAGGTGTATTTTGAGCGACGGAGCTGCAGCAGAGGGATTCAAGAGTCACATGCAGCTCCAGAGCTGCGGGTTGCCAACCCCTGCCCTAGCCAAACCCTACTGCACACAATGCTTTTCTTATAAGCTGTGTTGTATGCGGCATCAGGTACATGTTAGTTGGGAAGCAGTGTGTTGTAGGCTTGTTGAGTAGATGCCTTTAGCAGTATCACTTGAATGAAGTCATAAGAACAAAAGAAGATCAGACGGAGGTATCATCTAGTCCAGCACTCTCTTCACACAGTGACCATGTGATTGGAAATGCTATCTGTTAGGTATGCAGGGCCTGCTAAATAGGCAAAGCTGAGGAATGTCAGTGTGCAGAAGTACAGGGGTATGAAGAGGTGGGGTTCAGATTCGTAGGTACTGGGAAACATTTTGGGACAAGTTGGACATGTACAAGAGGGATGGGCTTCGTTTCGAACAGGCT